AGGAGGTCAGCAAAAGCAGCCACTGTATTCTTCCTTCTGTAAGGCATCCAAAGAAAACCTGTAGTTGGAGAAATGAAGAGGTTTCATTTTCTGACCTCCTTCTGAACATGCTAGTTGCCTGGCTATCTGTGTGCCTTATCTGCATACTTGATCTGGGTCTGTGACTCAAAACATCCTGAAGCCACCAGATCAAATGCCTCCTTTTTGGGGTAGGATTATTTTCTTTTTGCTGTATTCTCTTGAACTTCCAGAAGAGGGCACAGAAGGACTGTCACAGTTACATAGAGACAAGAAAAACACACAAAAAACAGCAAAATGTCCATGAAAACAATGTGAGCACAGCATGGGGGGAGAAAAGTTGCAGAAACAAGACATGTGATAAGCCACAAAGCAGAAATCTCAAATACACAGACAGTAACAATAGGTCAAATGGCATGAGAATATTTAAATGGTACATATTTCACAAAGCTTTGTTTCAAAGATCTAACAATCGCTGATCCATCCATCCATGTAATTATCTACAACCGCATTATTCCTAAATATTGGCTTTACTATCTTGGCTATTCAACGTTGTTCTTTCTCACCTTCTACCAATTCTAATACAGAGGCTCACTAGGATTGCCTGGTGATTGGTCCCAATTCCATCTGCTGTTCTGTCAACTCCAAAATGCCTGTATTCTCCCCCCCCACACACACATTGTCCCTGCTGTGGTCCCACTATCTGCTACTGACTTGTTTGGGGATATTGAAGACAAGGTGTTGAAGTATGTATCATTTCGTCTCAGGAGCTCGGTGTGTGAGGGCAAAGGAGTGCAGACAATTCCAGAATGTATGGAGCACATAATATGGAAGACTATGCAAAAGAGCGAGCATAGTGGTGTATAAAAATAAGTACTGTGGATGAATAAGAAGGTATGGTGCACACAAGAATAAAGACTGTGGATGAATGAGGAGGTAGACTGCACATAATAAAACTGTGGATGAATGAGGAGGTAGAGTGCACATAATAAACTGTGGATGAATGAGGAGGAGGTAGAGTGCACATAATAAACTGTGGATGAATGAGGAGGTAGAGTGCACATAATAAACTGTGGATGAATGAGGAGGTAGAGTGCACATAATAAACTGTGGATGAATGAGGAGGTAGAGTGCACATAATAAACTGTGGATGAATGAGGAGGTAGAGTGCACATAATAAACTGTGGATGAATGAGGAGGTAGACTGCACATAATAAACTGTGGATGAATGAGGAGGTAGAGTGCACATAATAAACTGTGGATGAATGAGGAGGTAGAGTGCACATAATAAACTGTGGATGAATGAGGAGGTATGGTACACATACGATATAGACTATGAATGAAGGAGGAGGTATGGTGTGCATTATAAATAGACTATGCATAAAGGAGGAGATATGGTGCGCATAATAAATTTACTATGGATGAAGAAGGAGATATGGTGCGCAGGATAAATTTACTATGGATGAAGGAGGAGGTATGGTGCGCATAATAAATTTACTATGGATGAAGAAGGAGGTATGGTGCGCATAATAAATTTACTATGGATGAATGAGGAGGGATGGTGGGCATAATAAATAGACTATGGATGAAGGAAGAGGTATGGTGCGCATAATAAATTTACTATGGATGAAGGAGGAGGTATGGTGCGCATAATAAATTTACTATGGATGAAGGAGGAGGTATGGTGCGCATAATAAATTTACTATGGATGAAGGAGGAGGTATGGTGCGCATAATAAATTTACTATGGATGAAGGAGGAGGTATGGTGCGCATAATAAATTTACTATGGATGAAGGAGGAGATATGGTGCGCATAATACATTTACTATGGATGAAGGAGGAGGTATGGTGCGCATAATACATTTACTATGGATGAAGGAGGAGGTATGGTGTGCATAATAAATGTACTATGGATGAAGGAGGAGGGATGGTGCGCATAATAAATTTACTAAGGATGAAGGAGGAGGTATGGTGCGCATAATAAATTCACTATGGATGAAGGAGGAGGTATGGTGCGCATAATAAATTTACTATGGATGAAGGAGGAGGGATGGTGCGCATAATAAATTTACTATGGATGAATGAGGAGGGATGGTGCGCATAATAAAGTTACTATGGATGAAGGAGGAGGTATGGTGCGCATAATAAATTTACTATGGATGAAGGAGGTATGGCGCGGATAATAAATATACTATGGATGAATGAGGAGGGATGGTGCGCATAATAAATTTACTATGGATGAAGGCGGTATGGTGCGCATAATAAATTTACTATGGGTGAACAAGGAGGTATGCTGAGCATAATAAATAGACTATGCATGAATGAGGAGGGATGGTGGGCATAATAAATAGACTACAGATGAATGAGGAGGTGTGGTGCGCATAATACATTTACTATGGATGAATGAGGAGGGATGGTGTGCATAATAAATAAACTACAGATGAATGAGGAGGTGTGGTGCGCATAATACATTTACTATGGATGAATGAGGAGGAATGGTGTGCATAATAAATAAACTACAGATGAAGGAGGAGGTACAGTGCGCATAATAAATTTACTATGGATGAATGAGGAGGGATGGTGTGCATAATAAATAGACTATGGATGAATGAGGAGGGATGGTGCGCATAATAGACTATGGATGAATGAGGAGGGATGATGCGCATAATAGACTATGGATGAATGAGGAGGGATGGTGTGCATAATAAATAGACTATGGATGAATGAGGAGATATGGTGCGCATAATAAATAGACTACAGATGAATGAAGAGATATGGAGCGCATAATAAATAGACTACGGATGAATGAGAAGGTGTGGCACACATAATAAATAGACTACGAATGAATGAGGAGGTATGGTGAGCATAATAAATAGACTATGGATGAATGAGGAGGTATGGTGAGCATAATAAATAGACTATGGATGAATGAGGAGGTATGGTGAGCATAATAAATAGACTATGGATGAATGAGGAGGTGTGGCACACATAATAGACTATGGATGAATGAGAAGGTGTGACACACATAATAAATAGACTACAGATGAATAAGAAGGTGTGGCACACATAATAAATAGACTATGGATGAATGAAGAAGTGTGGCACACATAATAAATAGGCTATGGATGAATGAGAAGGTGTGGCACACATAATAAATAGACTATGGATGAATGAGAAGGTGTGGCCCACATAATAAATAGACTACGGATGAATGAAGAGATATGGAGCGCATAATAAATAGACTACGGATGAATGAGAAGGTGTGGCCCACATAATAAATAGACTACGGATGAATGAGAAGGTGTGGCCCACATATTTAATAGACTACGGATGAATGAGAAGGTGTGGCACACATAATAAATAGACTACGGATGAATGAGAAGGTGTGGCACACATAATAAATAGACTACGGATGAATGAGCAGGTGTGGCACACATAATAAATAGACTACGGATGAATGAGAAGGTGTGGCACACATAATAAATAGGCTATGGATGAATGAGAAGGTGTGGCACACATAATAAATAGGCTATGGATGAATGAGAAGGTGTGGCACACATAATAAATAGGCTATGGATGAATGAGAAGGTATGGTGGCACATAAGGAATAAAGGCTGATGATGAATGAGAAGACATGGTAACACATAAATAAATGTAAGGACTTATGACAATAAAATGAACATTTATGAAAGCCGTCCCATTGCTGCCCAAATTGTGCACTGATACAGTACATAAATGCTAGCTATGATTTGACCTTGCCTATTAATCCCAATAGGATGTGCTCTTTTTTTCACTGCAATATACACTAAGCATATCAGAAGAGGCACTGTGCTTGAAGTGTCCCTCTGAAGCTGGAAATGTACCAGCTGTTCTATTAGCTTTGGAATAACACATATTTCAGTAATGATCAGAATATGTCCTGTCTGAATTCATAGACGTCTAAATAGTAAAATAGGCAAATCTGCCATACTTCAGATTTTTTCATGTCTGCTAATGAGGCAATAGACATAAGAGGGAAATCAAATATTTAGTAATGATCCAAGCACTGAAGACTCACCATTCCTGCCCAATGATCACACAGGGGTGGACAAACCATTAGCACAGACTGTGTAGCTGCGCAAGAGCCACTTGGGACTAAGAGAGTCCATTTATACTAGATGTGAACTGGGCAGGTGCTGGGACCCTTCCTGCTGTTAACACTGCCAGGACTTCTAGGGCAGGTGAGAAATGGGAGGTACTCTTAATGATGCCTTAACCATACCCCTGGTTTGCAATATCTAGGTCCAGAGAACACCGCCTTTAATACAGTTCCTCATGTTGTGGTGACCCCCCCAACCATAAAATTATTTTCGTTGCTACTTCATAACTGTAATTTTGCAGTGGGAGGAGTAGTGCCACATCATTGATGTCATTGAGAGGAAAAGTGTCCCACTGTTGGTGTCACTGAGAGGAAAAGTGTCCCACTGTTGGTGTTATTGAGAGGAAAAGTGTCCCATTGTTGGTGTCAGTGAGAGGAAAAGTGCCCCTATCCTTGGTGTCAGTGAGAGGAATAGTGCCCCATCATTTGTATCAGTGGGAGGGGGGGAAGAATAGTACCCCATCATTGGTGTCAGTGGTGGGGGGAATAGTGCCCCATCACTGGTGTCAGTGGTGGGGGGAATAGTGCCCCATCATTGGTGTCAGTGGGGGAGGAATAGTGCCCTATCGTTGGTGTCAGTGGGGGGAGGAATAGTGCCCCATCGTTGGTGTCAGTGGGGGGAGGAATAGTGCCCCATTGTAGGTGTCAATGGGGGGAGGAATAGTGCCCCATCATTGGTGTCAGTGGGGGGAGAAATAGTGCCCCATCGTTGGTGTCAGTGGGGGGAGAAATAGTGCCCCATCGTTGGTGTCAGTGGGGGGAAATAGTGCCCCATCATTGGTGTCAGTGGGTGGAATAGTGCCCCATTATTGGTATTAGTGACACCAATGATAGAGAACTATTCCTCCCACTGACACCAATGATACTTACCTTGTTGACCCCTGCTCCAGCCTGGGCTCACTCCCTCCCTCTCCCATATACAGCCAGCATACCTGGCTACAGCAGCAGCACCATCTGCACGGTACAGACATTTACCGGTCAGCTGTCTTTCTTCCCCGGCCGCTCTCCTCCTCCTCTTCACTCACTCCGGCAGCTCCCTCACTCGATCTTCTTTGATCTTCGTGCTGCCGCTCGGCTCCTCCTCTCCAAGCTCCACCACCTCACCAGTGATTGGCCGCCTGTGTGCCTCTCCTGAGCTACAGTTCTGGCAGCCAATCACCGACAAGGAGGCGGAGCTGTTAAATGATCCTGGGGGTGTGGCCAGATGATAGGAGCGGCATATCATCCCGCCTACACATTGCGGTCCAGGGAAATGTGGGCGTATCTGCATTTGGGCAGACCCGCCTGGAGACGGATAGAGGAGAGGTGTCTCGGTTCCTAACACCATTGGAAATATGTGTTTTCCGATGGTCTTAGGTGACCTCTGTGAAAGGGTCATTCGACCCCCAAAGGGGTCACGACCTACAGGTTGAGAACTGCTGTGATAGAAGAAACAGTGTGTTGGGGAACTGTGGGGGAAGCAGGAAGCAGTCTGGAAGATCCTGGATCCAAGAAGATTACTTCATCATAAAGAAAGATTCAAGGTAAGTAACTGCTTTAGTGCATGCCTATCACATAGATAGTTAGTTTGTGCATGTTGTAGGCATATTTTTATTATACTTTGCATGCTATGATTTGTGTATCCTGCAGTTTTGAGTGCAGCCTTTCTGTTTAGTAAAACACATAATGACACTACAGAGTTTTAAGTGCTTCCTTGGTTACCACAAAGTTACCTTAATAGACACTAAATAAAACAAATCCAAGCCTTAAAGTAGAATTATAGGCAAAACTTTTTTTTTTTATTTTGGATAGAGCAAGGGAGGGTTATAACCCCTGTCAGACTTGTTTTCGCTATCTGTGCCCCATTGGGGAGATTTCCCTCCACTTACTGTCCAATAGCCAAACTGGAAGTAAGAGAAAATACAAGAAAATGAAGGGAATTCCTCGGGGACCCCCAGGTCACCCGAACTGGTGTCCCCATTAGAAGATTTTCCCTCTATTACTTTTCTGTGGATGATGCTGGTAAACAGGACAAATAGAGAGAGAGGATCTCCCTAAAGGGGGCACAGGCAGCAGTAAAAACTGAAAGGTGTTCTAATCCCTCTTAACTCTATCCAAAGATAAAGGAAAGTTTTGCCTTTAGTATACCTTAAACCCAAAAAGTACACTATGACTAGATCTATTTGTTAAATACTCGTTTTACCCCAAGCTAATCCATATGGCCTGCACTAAATTACTTTAAACAACAAATCTTGCTAGAACTATTTGTTAAATACTTGTTCTACCCCAAACTAATCCATATATCCTGCATCAAATTACTTTAAAACATTATTCTTGCTTCAGCAATGACTGAAACTGAAAGCTTGCTTAACCTCCCTGGCGGTATGATCATGTCAGGAATTTTGTGCTGAAAGCGGTACCATTTTTTTGCATGGAAATATGTAGTTTTTAATTGTAGGCTGTAATTTTTAGGAATAACTCACTGAAATCTATCCGAAAAAGAGTCTATTAAACATTCCGGATATGATAAAACTTGAAACACGAAATCATAAATTATAATTTAATAAATAATCATAAAAAATAATAATATAATAATAATAAATTTAATTCAATAATATAATCAAACCAAAAACACTGAAATTTGAAATACAGAGGCAAATTCGCACATCGCTGAGCAAAGTCGCAAAATTGTTTTCAGTGTCTGATGACGAATTTCCCCACAAATCATTATCACTCAATTCTGCAAGTGGTTCTGATTTACTATCGCTGTTCTAAAACCGCTTTTGACCTAAAGGGACGCTTTTTGGCCGCCATGGACTTTTCTAAGTTTCCAGGCAGAAAGAACAGTCAAAATGCAGGCAGGGCACAGGACAAAGCAGTAGGGACAAAATGTATGTGAAATGCAGTGAAACAGCAATGACAGCAAAAATGTAATTTTTTAAAAAAATTTCAAATTTCCCGCCGGTTCCGCCGCCCGAACGTTCCGACGTCACGGGGACCGGAACACGGAAGCCAGATGCCGGCATCCGCCGGAGGAGATGGACGGGGACGCTGCAGGGGACACATCATGGGAGCGAAGGACAAGGTAAGTGCTGCAGGGACCCCCAGAGAACGCTGCATGGTAAGCCCGAGTGTAGCTCGGGGTTACCGTTCTTGGTATAGAAAATTCTACCCCGAGCTACACTTGGGAACACCGCCAAGGAGGTTAAAGCTACATCAGTGCTACCTATAAAGGGGAATTTAGTCTTCTTTTTTTATATGCTATTTGTTATACAAAGCTAAACTACTGCCAAACACAATGCTGTCCTCTAAGTTTACCAGCCTCTTTCCACAGTTAATGTGTGTAGTGATGTAAAGTGTATTGTTATCAGTTGTCCTTATCACTGCCATTGCAGAACCCATAGGCAGTGCCATTCTGAGCTCACACCAAATAAGTTCTCAAAGAATTATTATTAGTATTATTATACAGGATTTATATAGCGCCAACAGTTTGCTCAGCGCTTTAAAATATAAAGGGAGATAATACAGCAACAATACAGTTCAATACAAGAGGGTTAGAAGGGCCTGATCCTGGGAGCTTACAATCTAAGAATCTCTCAATATATTATTAATAAATAACATAAATAAAGAAAATATATTTAGAGTGAAATAATACTCCCTGCACCCAAGAACAAGAAAAAAAATAAATCAAAAAACATTTTATATATATTTAACACAGACCCAAACAATATGTGTAACCCGTATCCACCACAGTGCACCATTTGTATGTTTTTGTGCCAGATGTTTTTTTTTTCAGTGAAAATATTTTAAAATACTATACTGTTTAGTCTAATTTGTTCTCTTATAAAACTAAAGGTATAGGCTGTTTTAAACAGAACTATAGCCACATGTTAACAAACACCCTCAAATCCATTTTTTCCTGCAGTCTTCAGTCTGTCTGGGTGACATCACAGGTTCTTTCTTTTCTTCCTTGCCAACTATGGTGGGTATTCTTTCCTCCTGGACTGAGTGGTGCTCACACAATGATTTGTGAGTGCCATTTAGCCAAAGAGTAATGTGAGCCCAGGTTGTGTAAAGACATTGACCCCGGGGCGTGTCTATGCCAGTCTGGACTTGCAGCAAGTTGACTGATGCTGACTGTTATATGACCCAGAAGAAACTGGACAGAAAAAGGGGGGACAGCACTGGAGCATGCAGGGGGTAATTATTTCCTGTACACTTTTTTTCTCCAATGCAGGAGGGGAACCCTTTCATTTAAAAATATACAGTTGTGTTCAAAATAATAGCAGTGTGTTGAAAAAAGTGAATAAAGCTCAAAATTCTTCTAATAGCTTTTATTTCCATACACACAAATGCATTGGGAACACTACACATTCTATTCCAAATCAAAACATGAAGAAAAATATAATCAAATGTGTGTTGTTCCTCTAAAAAAATTGAAGAAAAGTGAATATTAGACTGTTCAAAAAAATAGCAGTGTTTGTATTCTTCTTTACAAACTCAAACATTCACTATATAAACTGAAAAATGTTTGAAGATTTTGCTTTCCTTTGAATCACTTAATGAATATTTAGTTGTATAAGCACTGTTTCTGAGAACTGCTGACATCTGTGTTGCATGGAGTCAACCAACTTCTGGCCCCTGTTATCAGGTATTCCAGCTCAGGATGATTGGACTACATTCCACAGTTCTTCTCTATTTCTTGGTTTTGCCTCAGAAACTGCATTTTTGATGTCACCCCACAAGTTTTCTATTGGATTAAGATCCAGGGATTGGACTGGCCACTCCATAACATCAATCTTGTTGGTCTGGAACCAAGATGTTGCACGTTTACTTTTGTGTTTGGGGTCGTTGTCTTGTTGGAACACCCATTTCAAGGGCATTTTCTCTTCAGCATAAGGCAGCATGACCTCTTCAAGTATTCTGATGTATTCAAACTGATCCATGATCCCTGGTATGCGATAAATAGGCCCAACACCGTAGTATGAGAAACATCCCCATATCATGATGCTTGCGCAACCATGCTTCACTGTCTTCACAGTGTACTGTGGCTTGAATTCAGTGTTTGGGGGTCGTCTGACAAACTGTCTCTGGCCACTAGACCCAAAAAGAACAATCTTACTTTCATCAGTCCACAAAATGTTGCGCCATTTCTCTTTAGGCCAGTCAATGTGCTCTTTGGCAAATTGTAACCTCTTCAGCACGTCTTTTTTTCAACAGTGGGACTTTACGGGGGCTTCTTGCAGATAGCTTGGCTTCACATAGGCGTCTTCTAATTGTAACAGTACTCACAGGGAACTTTACACCTTCTTTGATCTTCCTGGAGCTGATTGTTGGCTGAGTCCTTGCCATTTTGGCTATGCTTCTATCCGTTCAAATGGTAGTTTTTCGCTTTCTTTCACGTCCTTCAGGTTTTGGTTGCCATTTTAAAGCATTTGCGATCATTTTAGCTGAGCAGCCTATCATTTTCTGCACTTCTTTATATGTTTTCCCCTCTCTAATCAACTTTTTAATCAAGGTACGCTGTTCTTCTGAACAATGTCTGCAACGACCCATTTTCCTCAGAATTTTAGAGAGAAATGCACTGTAACCAGCATGTACAACATTTGCTGTCTTCCTTCCTTAAATAAGGGCAATAATTGCCACCTGTTTTTCAAAGAATGAATGACCTCACTAATAGAACTCCACACTGCTATTATTTTGAACATGCCCCTTTCAATTAGTGATTCAATTACACAGAATCAGCAGCATGCATGTCATGACTGTTGGGTCTGTTGGATTTCTATTACTCTACTACACCTGCTAGTAAATTATTTGCCATGTAGAAATATCATTTCTACCAAAAACAGTGATTGATCAGGTTAGTGATGTCTGACTGCTATTATTTAGAACACAACTGTATATCATTGGATTCCTGTTTTAAGAACCTCAGAAAAGCTGTTCACAACCTATTAAATGCTTCATAAATGTTTGCTGAAGCTGTTATTTCTCATAAAAGAGTGTGTAGGACAAGAATAAACAACATTTTTGTGTATGAGGCCTGAAAGGAAACTCTTATTTACAGACAGGCCATTGCCTTTAAATTATTATTATTATTATAATAATACAGGATTTATATAGCGCCAACAGTTTGCGCAGCACTTTACAATATAAGGGAGAAAGTACAATTACAATACTTTTCAGTACAGAAGGAATAGGAGGGCCCAGCTCGTGGAGCTTACAATCTAA